GGGCATTTGAACACTTTGTCTGAAGTTGGTGGCACTGTTCAGGGAGGCTTAGGAGGTGTGATTTTACTGGAGGAAGTATGGCACTGGGGGCAGGCTTTGAAAGTTCATCACGGTTCACACTATTTCCAGTTCGCACTTTGTTCCATGATTCAAGATATGAGTACTCAGCTTCCTGCTTCTGCCTCCAAGCCTTTGTTCCACTATCTTGTAGTCTAACCCTTAGGAACTGTAAGCCTAAATAAACCCTTTCTTCTATAAGCTGCTTTGGCCACAGTGTTTTATCACAGCAATAGAAACGTAACTGATATAGTGGACAACTGAGGGAGATGGATAAGGAAGACCCACAATAGATAGGTCTTAAACACTCTTAAAATCTTCTAGTCACTGTTAGCGTTAGTGGTCAGTTCTTCAAATTCTCACTGCAATCAGTCTTGTTGTTCACTTTCCTGTAAATAAGAAAAGACACTAGGGAAAATTTCACTCACTAAGTGACAGCTATTGGAATCTCCCATTGCCCTGCCTGTCTTTCCCCCCCCTCCCCCCGCCTGTCTTAAACAAAACGACCATACTAATCAAAGGACAGCTGGCCTACCCATCCTCATACAGCATCAGCCACCTTAGACATAGTACAGATGCCCTGAGAAACTACACAGCCATCAGATGGTTGCCCAGGCTTCTAAAGATGCAGCTCTAGCCAATGGTGTCTGAAAAAGTATATCAGACTTGCAAGGTTATGACTGGTCGAAACATAAATCTCTGTGTCTATAAATAGTGCTGAAGAGGCAAAGCTGTGATTGGTCCAGACAATCCTACTTTCGTGAGAAAAGCCAACTGCTCAGGCTCATCAGCTGGGTGACATTCTCCTGTGCTTTCAACTCTGGTGCTGAAGCATTAGAGTCAACAAAGGTTCCTGCCAAGTAGTCTTTTCTTACTCTCAGTGTTTGAGCTGAACTGTGACACACGAAAGGAGCAGCGAAGACAGCAGAAGGGTGACAACAGCAGAGGCTTCAGAGCAGCAGCGGGAACAGCTCTGAGCTTTCTGAAGGCTGAGCTGCAGAAGTGTCAAGCAGTGAGCTGAAGACAAGTGAACAGCTCCAGAGCTGCCAGGAAAAGATGGGGAAGGATGGTGGGAGCAGAGAGACAGTAAGAGAGAGACTGAAATAAACAAAAAGGCTACAAAGATCCAGAGAAGATGAAGTGCGGGCTCTGGTCCTGGGAGATTTCAGGGAGCTGTCAAGTTTGTAGGGCCAAGGATCTCAAACCCCATGTTAAGTCCTTCATTGTTTCACCCAGGTCACCAATTTACTTTAAAAAATCAGATGCAACATGAGCTGTTACACTTTTTTGTTTTGTTTTTTAGATTTATTTATTTATTATGTATACAGTGTTCTGTCTGTATGTATTCCTGCATGCCAGAAGAGGGCACCAGATTTCAGATGGTTGTGAGCCATGATGTGGTTGCTGGGAATTGAACTCAGGACCTCTGAAAGACCAGCCAGTGCGCTTAACCTCTGAGCCATCTCTCCAGCTCGAGCTGTTACACTTAGAATGAGATGAGTTAGGGCCCTGTCTGTGATCGTCTTGCTGTTTGTTTTCAATCCTGTGCTTCTGTCTCCTTGTTCATTAAGATGTCAGAGTTGCTCTCACTAACATCTAATCTCTCTCCCATCTTGAAAACTCCAGAATTTATATTCCCTGAAACACATACCTCTGAAAGGTTTAGGATTTTGGATTCATGTGTCCAAAGGAATCTGAAGCAGCAATACCTTGAATAATATATTTCATTTTACCCCTTTCTCTTAAGACAAGGTCTTGACAAAGAACCCTGTCTGGCTTCAAAATCACAAGCTCCTCTCTCCACCTCCCAAGTGATGGGGTTTCAGATGTATAAAACCACGACCAGCTGAATAGAACATTTCTGTGTATTATTATTTACATTATGAGGACCATAAACAACTTTAAGCCAGTTTGTATCAGGTTTTGTTGCCAAACTAGTCATAAAAGCAACCTTTCAGTTCTAGTATGTTTGGTTTTCAAAACTGCAAATTAAAGATTTTGTGTGAATTCAGTTGCAGATTTATATAATCATGTTGCTAAAGAAAAGTTATTGAACTCCCAGTCAGCAGAAAAATCTGTTCATTCGTGTGGTGAGGGCACACACCTTTAATTACAGCACTCAGAGGATAGAGGCAGGAGGATCTCTGTGAGTTCAAGGTAGCCTTGTCTATAAAGCTAATTCCAGGACAGCCAGGGCTACACAAAGAAATCCTGTCTCGAAAAACAAAAAACAAAAACAATGACAACAACCAACCAAACAAACAAACAAACAAAAAACCTGTTCACTAACAAAAATCATCGGAATTATTAGTATAACTAAAGGACTACAGTTCCTTTGACTGTGGATGGTGTCCCTCAGGGTGTGAGGTACCTCTTCTTGCACTAACCTGTGGGGAGGGCAGAGCCCTAAGAATTGGTCCTGGCCTTGGTGTTTCTCATTGATGTGAGTGTGACCCATCTGACAAGCTGGTCCATACTCAGGTTAAAGCAGAGTCACTTCTATTACTAGAAGTCAAACTCTTTAATTAGCTCAAAGCTTACTGTATCATTTTCCTAAATGTAGTTTTTATCTTAGTTTAAGAGTCTTTCTTCATGTCTGACAACTGAGTTATTAGAAGAGGCAAGTGTATGAAAATTTTGCATTAAAAATTTAGAAATCGCTGGATTCATTTAGTAGACCTAGAGGTCTATGGGGAGGGGTGTAACAATAAGGCTTTACTCCAAGCTGCCCGAGTCCTGCCGCTTCTGCCAGGCTGCCCAAGTTCAGCCCGCCACCATGTTAAGGTCCCAATAACACACAGAGACTTATATTAGGTTACAAATGCTGCTTGGCCAAAGACTAGGATTTCTCATATGCTAGCTCAGTCTTAATTATCACAAATCTATAATCTATTTTATAAGACTTATCTTATTGGACACCAGCAACAAGCATTCTGTTTTCCCTGGGCTCACTTGCTGCCTCACTGGCCAAACAGTACTTTATTTATCATCCAATAAGGCAAACATATACACAGAAGCACTTCCCCCATCAGAGGGGGAAATAGAAATCTACACAGGTTTCACACTAAGTAGGATCTTGGGATAAGGGTTTACAAATGCTAGTAAGTGGCAGTTCCTTAATTTTAACCAATTTTTAAATTACATTTATTGATTTGCTTATTTAGTTGTGTGTGTGCACACATGTGCATGCGTCACAGCATACATGTGAAAGGTCAGAAGACAGTTTACAGGAGTCTGTTTTTTCTTTCTATTATATGAGTTCCAGAGATGGAACTAAGGTCACCAGGATTGGCATCAAGTGTCTGCCCCTAATTAATTATTTTAAAACTTAAGTAGCAAGTATGGTGTCATGGGATTAGAACATGACTATGAACATGCTTTTGCTGAATGTTTAGAAAGTCATCTTAGTAAAATGAAAAAAAAAAGTGCCACCCTCCACAAAGTTTCTATAGAAATGAAGTCAACAGCCATTGTTACCCAACAGCAAAATGGTGGTGGAAAAATTCACTCATATCAAAAGTCCTGCAGAAGGTAATCCCCCATGTAGTTTTACATCCACCCCAAGAGCAAGAAGGTACCAATGCTGTTTTGCCTAAATCTGCTCCACTCAAATGTACTTTACTTCTGTTTTGGAGGCAAGGAATAGGCAGAGCAGAAAGTTAAGATTTCTATGAGGGTGGGACAAGTGTAAGGATTGGTTGTTCTTTGGCCTCCTTCTGACTGGTCTGCTCCTTTCCCACCTCCTTTCCATCCTTGCTTAACCCCGTACTCTGTGTTAGTTAGGGTTTCTATTGCTGTGAAGAGACACCATGACCATGGCAATTCCTTATAAAGGGAAACCTCTAGTTGTGGTAGCTTACAGTTCAGAGGTTTAGTTCATTATTGTCATGGCGGGGAGCATGGCACCATGAAGGCAGACATGGTGCTGGAGAAAGAGCTGAGAGCTCTTACAACTTGACGCACAGGCAATAGGAAGTGGTCTTGAGACACTGGGAGTGGCTTGAACATATATGAGACCTCAAGGCCTGCCTCTACAGTGACACACTTCTTCCAATGAAGCCACACCTCTAATGGTGACACTCCCTTTGGGGGCCATGTTTTTTAAATCTCCACACTCTGCAGATGCTCACAGACTAGAGGCTCACAGACTAGCTCCTACAAGAGGGTGTCAGTGCAATCTCCAGAAGGGCTGGGCTACACTTTTATAGTGAATTGCAAAAGAAAGAAGGTGGCCATGATACCACATGAGTCACAACATGTGGCTCACTTCTCAGTTGCTAAGTTTAAAAGTAAAGTTTGATAAAAATAACACTGCTTGAGGAAGACAGCATGGACACACAGTCCCTGTTTTCTTCTCTCTGTTTTCTGATATCTACCAAACCAGAAAAGTGCTACCTGTGGCCACTGATATGTTTTCAGAGGCTGGAAAACTTTACATCTGGGGAAACACTCAGCAGTTTCACTGCAGGACTCTCTGCCTTTGCTACAGGACCACTGAATCTTTGTGCCAAGCAGAAGAAGAGATATCTACTCATTTTCAGCATTGGAGCTTGTATACATATATTTATGCAAACCCTTAAAGTTTTCATAGAATAAGGCAAATACAAACAAGTATAATATACAATTCACATTATATTTAATTCTTTTTAAAAACTTTTACTTATTTGGGTGATATGCCTACATGCATACATCTACACCGTGTGTATGCCTATTACACACAGAGGCCGGAAGAAGGTGTGAGATCCCTAAAACTGGAGTTACAGACAGTTGTAAGCCCCCATGTGAGTGGTGTGAACTGTACCCAGGTTTTCTGCAAGAGCAGTAAATGCTCTTAACAGCTGAGCCACTCCTCCAACCCTTACATTTAATTCTCTTAAAAAGACACAAAACTTGACATTGTATGCAACACTCAAGTATGTGGTAAGTATTAACTCTTATGTTACCTTTATATCCTTGTTCTGTCTCCCTGAGGTCAATTTTGGTTATTGGTTTGAAATCAGTGTCCCATAATCGTATACAGCCGTCTCGCCCACCAGTAGCAAAGCCCTCTTCACAAGCATACATGCTAAAGATTCCAGCCTGTCAATTAGAAGAGGCAACACTCATTCCTGCAATTGCTATAAATGCCACCATTGCTGAATTTTGATTAAAAACAACAGAGCAAAACACAATAAAAGCAGATTCTGTATTTTTCTGTTGAAATCTGACAGCAGATCAACACACTTTACCTCAGCTAGATCACCGTAATTATAGCCACCGCCAAGAGGCAAAGTAATTCCATTAACACATCTAATTTGATAAGATTATTACCCCCGCTTCATAAAATGTTATTTATGAATACCTTGGTTAAAGCAGATTCAGAATCAGATTCCTATATATGACAATCAAGCCTTCCAAAACAAAGACATTACAAAGTTGCCGCACTTAAGTTCTAAACGAATCTAGTAAAGACCCAGATAGGGGCATGGGTGCCACACCTTTTACAAGCTTAGTGGTGCCTGAGATGCTACCTCAACTGCTCAGGAGGGTGCTTATGACAGACAGAAAACATGAATAGCACTGTGTCAGTGTATTGTGCGTACTATGGGATGACTTGCTTTTCATGTCTAAAATACTTTGATTCTTTAAGTTTGGAAACTATTGTACTTGATTTATTCAAAACTGTTACTGTTACATTATATCCAGTGTAAAGAGAAGTTGATTACTGAGGCAGCTCATTTAATGAATGAAAACAAATTCTGATCTCTTCATTGTTTTAAGAGTTGTTTGGCAATGAACCAAGAAAAATGGTTTTCACCTTAGAAGAGAAGGAAGGCTCTAAGTATCCAAACTATTTTTGCAGAATTCTCTAAAGTTTCCTTCATAAAAGTCATGAGGTGTGAGCATGCAGATTAATGATAGAGGATTTGCCTAGTGTGTAAGACTCTGGGCTCAGTCCACAGCACTAAAAAAAAATGAAGTCATGGGGAATCAATTTGGAGGCACTGAGATAAAGTATTCTTTATTTTATTTCTATGATGCCAGGTGGGTGCTGGAAACTGCACCCGGGTCTGTGAGAGTAAGTAGGTGCTCATAACCACTGAGCCATCTCTCTGGTCCTTATATTTAATTATCTTAAACAAAAATACAAAATGTGGCTTTGTATGAAATGCTTGCAGAGTACATGGTAAATATTGCTATCAGCATTTCCCTCTGACATCTGTTTTATATTTCCATTGTAACATCTGTATACATCATTTTCCTTTGTGTCAAAAGATAGCAAAGAGCTAAGAAGCAACTTCTGCCAGGTATTCACAGAGCATGGAGAAAAAGGTCACTAGTGGCATCTGTTTCTCTGAGGACTACAATGCTGATAGAGTTGATGCTCCAACACTCCAACAGGGCGAGGACACTCTCCCTCACCACCTATCACAAAAACAGCAGCTGCTCACACCCCATCTATTCCAGATACTGGCCACAAAGTGGAGGCAACGATGAGAATCAGTCTGGACCCAGTGAAGAAGGCTGTGAGGTTAACAAGATCCCAGGACACTTGCAGGCAGGCTGTAATTTAAGAAGTGATGACATGTTCGAGTCTTGTATCAACTATTACTGAAGAACAGTACTCATCAGCCAATTAATAGTTATGGAGAAGCCTGATTTCCTATGTTTTTCTTCAGGTAACAAAAGTAACTTGAGAAATCTTCATGAGTGTTTTCAACTGTTTGGTGATGTCTTCTAACTGTAAAGCAAAAGGCGGAAACATGGAGAAGTGTGGCCTTAACGTATTCAAAACGTCATCCCGACACCTCACATGGTAATACTCACACTATGTGCTCCTTGAACAGTTCGGATTAAGGTGAGCCCTTTCCAGACGTAGATGTCACCGTTTAAAGCACCAGAGTATGTGATGTCTTCTTTGGCACATGCAAGGCAAAGGATAGTCTGCAGATCTCCTGTTTTGCCAAATATCCCTCTTTTTGCTGTCAGGGCATTTCCACATAGTGTCCAAAACTAGGAAGTAATAGAAAAATATATGCCAAAATAGAGTACACTATCCCATCATCTGTATTTTTCAGTAATTTCATAGAATATACTTGATCTGAACTAAGCATAAACAAATTGTTTCTCAGTGACAGTGGCCAACCACAAAACACGTCTGCATACCTCTAGAAGCATGAGAAACCCACAACTATATCTTTAAACTCTAAAAGCTCAAAAATGTCAAAACTTTAATGTTTAGTGACATGGTGGAAGATGACTCCAGTGTCCTCAGAATGGAATTAGGGGAGTCACACTTTTGTTTAATCTTTTGTCAAATGAGTACAGATTCAATGTAGAAATACAGGTAAGTATAAGAAGGAAGCCAAGTATGGCAGCACACGCCTGTAATCCCAGCACTTGGGAGGCAGAGGCAGGAGGACCATTGCATGCTGGAGGCTAGCTCAGTCTACGTAGCAACTTCTAGGCTAGACAGAGCTACATAACAAGACTCTGCCTCAAAAATGTAATGTATGTGTACATACATTAATACATTACATAAAGAAAAATTGAAATTAGGAATAACTTCATGTTAGCATAACATATCATCTAGCCAATTTTCATTTGTTTGTTGAGACAGAGTTTCTCTGGGTAGCCCTGGCTATCCTGCAACTCACTCTATAGACCAGGCTGGCCTCGAACTCACAGAGATCCAATCCAACTGCCACTGCCTCCCGATTAAAGGCTGGTAATACCACCGCCCAGCATCCATCCAGTCATTTTAATATATGTATGCATATTTTAAAAACTGCTTTGTAGGCTGCTTGATGGAGTTGGTTAGAACATGGTGGCAATAAAAATAATTGTTTTCTAACCAAAGTTTTCTAACCAATTTTTTTTTTACTGTAGAATTGTTCACAAATACTTCTCAATACACGTGATATTTCCATAAAGTCAAATAATAACCCAGGCTTCTCCATTTTATTTGCACAGATGATGTGGAAGAGGGCAAACATAACACTTGAATGATTTGGGTAATGCCCATGGCTACACAGAAATCCAGTATTTTTCTTTGATGCAGTTTCTAATGTATGAACCAGTATAACTTTGGTGCCACTACATAGCCCTCAGTCTCCAAATGCTTTCCACGTTTGTTGTTTAATGTCATAACACACTTGAGCATAGGTTAGGACAGACTCGTTACTGTTTCCATGTGGAAGTGAGGGAAGGCAGGCAGAAGTACTTTGCTAAAGACATGGATTCTGTCAAGTTTATACACGAGAAGCCACTGAAACCTTGACTGCTGTTTTGAGAACTCCACACTAAGAAAGAGGGCATGTGAAACAACAGGCAAGGATTTTGTGACAGCGTATTCAGATTATACTCAAGAGGCAGGGTCAATGTGAAGCTACAGGAACCAAATTGCATTACATGGAATGACCAAGAATAGGATTTGGATTCATGGAAGGCAAGAAATTGCATCTCACCCAGGAGAGCAAGATTAGATGACTCTAAGGGCTAGGAACCCATGAAGGAAAAATTCAGTGTCTACCCTATGATTTGGGGCCTGCAGGAGAGGAAAATTGGTGGTCCTCTCAGAGTACAGTAGCTAGGTACTGGTGGATACAAGTCTGGGTTGACTGACCTAATATGATGGTGGTGGGAATGGACTTGGGCAGAAAGACCATGGCAAAGATGAGAAAATGTGCTCAGCTATTTGAAATGCTCTCAGCTGAGCCAAGTGCGGTGTTTCTTTGGACAGTATTTTTGTAAAAAGGTATTGAAATAAGTACAAAAGGAATGAAGAAATTTTTGTGAAAAAAAGCTAATTAGATACAAGATTTGGAAAACACCAATGTCTTAAATGTGACCTCAGACATGCCATTAGACACAAATGATCAACAGATGAAGAAGCATGCCAAAGAATTTCCATCTGTGGTGGCACTCAGGCAGATATTCACCTTCTTGTTGTAGTTTCTCATATGTGAAGATTGACTGGAAAGTAACTATTCTGTCTTTTGACTTGAGATATGTACCACTGGCCTGAGTTAAATATTTTTACATGACAACTACCAAAAATATAGATCATTATCCTGAGACTGTGGTAACAAATGCTTTTCTGACAAAAAAAAATCACCCAATCATTTCAAGTCATCAAATGATTCTCTTAAAAGGCATATATATATGCCAAAGAAAGTGGGAAATTTTTGTGGGGAAAGAAAGAGAATACTTAATATATTTTCCTTTCTTGAGAACCATTTCATCTAGCAAACAGCAGTATTTTGGACTAACCATGCACCATTAAATGACAAGACATTGCTTATCTTCTCCAGTTTCCATTGGCAGATTGTAATACAAACGTGGTTAGAACAAGCAAGTACTTTAGAGTTTACCTGGCCCTAGAGTGTCTCTCAGGTCCTTTCCTTCTATTATGAGAGACTGCAGGAGGTTGAACATTATTATCCACAGGTTTGTATGCTTATTGACTGTGTAACCAGTGGAGAAGACATCACTTAACTGTTGTTTGTGAGCACTCATTTCAGGTGACTGTATTTGTCAACATGTCCAACAGTGAAACTTACAAAACCTGGCATGATTTGACCCTGGCCACAGAATTTTCACATCAAGGGTTTTCTTGAAATGCAGCCTTTTGCTCTCAACTTCTTTTTTTTTTCAGTTTTTAATTTTTTAGTTAAATAATTCAGTTTTTCCCAGAATAATCACACTTTCCCCTCCCTCCCTCTTCTCTTCCCTATCCTTATCCCCAACCACCCCTCACTACCCCCCTTCCACTCCTCTTCCTTTCTCTTCAGAAAAGGGCAGGCCTCCCATGGATACCAACCAAATCAACCATAGATATCCTCCCATGGATATCAAGTTTCAGTAAGACTAGGCACCCCCTCTCCTATTAAGGCTGGGCAAGGCAACCCAGTAAGAGGAAAGGATCCCAAAAGCAGGCAACAGAGTCAGAGACAGCCCCTGCTCTCACTGTTTGGAGTACCACAAAAGACCAAGCTACACAACTGTAACATATGTGCAGAGGGCCTAGGTCAGTCCCATCCAAGCTCTCTGGCTGGAGGTTCAGTCTCTGTGAACCCATGTTAGTTGATTCTGTGAGTCTTGGCCCATCTGGCCCCCATAATCCTTCCTCCCTGTCTTCCACAGGACTCCATAAGGTCTGCCTAATGTTTGACTGTAGGTCTCTGTTTTAATTAGCTGCTGGATGAAGCTTCTCTGATGACAGTTGAGTAAGAACTCAAGAAACTAGACATCAACCAACCAAACAACCCAATTAGAAATAGGGTACAAATCTAAACAGAGAATTCTCAATATAGGAATCTCAAATGGCTAAGAGTCACTTAAGGAAATGTTCAACATCCTTAGCCATCAGGGAAATGCAAATCATTTTAAGAGATACCATCTTACTCCTGTCAGAATGGCTAAAATCAAAACCACCAATGACAGTTTATGCTGGAGAGGATGTGGAATAAGGGAAACACTCCTCCATTGCTAGTAGGAGTGCAAACTTGTACAACCACTTTGGAAATCAGTATGGTGGTTTCTCAGGAAAATGGGAATTGATCTACCTCAAGACCCAGCAATTCCACTATTGGGCATATACCCAAAGGATGCACATTCATAACACAAGGACATCCATTCAACTATGTTCATAGCAACATATTATTTGTAATAGGCAGAACCTAGAAGCAACCTAGATGCCCCTCAACCGAAGAATAGATAAAGAAAATCTGGTACACTTACTGAAAAACTACTCAGTGGTAACAAAACAAAATAAAACAAAACACAATGACATCTTAAAATTTGCAGACAAATTGAAGGAACTAGAAGAAACCATGCTGAGTGAGGTAACCCAGACACAGAAATACAAACATGGTATATACTCATAAGTGGATATTAGACATAAAGCAAAGGATAACCAGCCTACATCCACAACTCCAGAGAAGCTAGGGAACAAAGAAGACTCCAAGAGAGACATGCGTGGACCCATCCTTCACCCCAGAAGGGGAATGGAACAAGATCTCCTGAGTAAATTGGGAACTCTGGGGGGAATGGGGAGGGAGGTAGAAGAAAGACAGGGGGAGAAAGGGATGGGGAAGATAACATGAGGGATCAGGAAGGTCCAGTTGGGGGAAGGACAGAGAAGGAGATCAAGGAAAGAGATAACTTGATAGAGGGAGCCATTATGGGGTTAACAAAAAACCTGGCACTAGAGAAATGTCCTAGGATCCACAAAGATGACCCCTACTAAGAATTTAAGTAATAGTGGAGAGGGTACCTGGAAGCAGAAGCAGAGATTCATAGCTAAGCACTGAGCAGAACTCCTGGAATTCAGTTGTAGAGAAGGAGGAGTGATGAGCAAAGGGGTCAAGACCATGTTGTAGAAACCCATAGAAACAGCTGACCTGAGCAAGCTCATGGACTCCAGACTGACATAAAACTGAACTATGCCACCCAAACGTGGGTGTCAGTTGAGGGGCTTGGGCAATCTATGGGGCCTTCTGGCAGTGTAAGCAGTATTTATCCCTAGTGCATGAACTGACTTTTTTGGAGCCCATTCCCTGTGGAGAGATATTTTCTCAGCCTAGACCCAGGCCCTCCCCCAAATGATGTGACAGACTTTGATGATCCCCCATGGGAGACCTCACTCTCTCTGAGGAGTGGATGGGGGGGGTGGGATGGATAGATGATGGGAGTAGTGGGAAGACTGGAGGGAGAGGGAACTGGAATTGGTATGTAAAATAAGATTGTTTTTAATTTCAATAAAAAAATTAAAAAAAAACACACACACACAAGTGACAGCTCATTCTGGAGAGGATGTGGAGCAAGGGGAACACTCCTCCACCGCTGGTGGGAGTGCAAACTTGTACAGCTACTTTGGAAATCAATATGGTGGTTTCTCAGAAAAGTGGAAATCAATCTACCTCAAGACCAGCTATACCACTCTTGGGTATACACCCAAGGATGCTCTACTATACTACAAGGACACTTGCTCAACTATGTTCGTAGCAGCATCATTTGTAGTAGCCAGAAACCGGAAATGACCTACGTATCCCTCAACTGAAGAATGGATAAAGAAAATGTGGTACATTTACACAATGGATTATTACTCAATTGTTAAAAACAATGTTAAAAATTGTTAAAAACAATGACATCATGAAATTTGGCAGCTAGTAAATGCAACTAGAAAAAAAAATCATCCTGAGTGAGGTACCCCAGACCAGAAGACCAGAAAGACAAACATAGTATTTACTCACTTATAGGTGGCTATTAGCCATAAAGTAAAGTATAATCATGCTATAATCCACAGACCCAATGAAGCTAAGTAACAAGGAAGGTTCAAGGGGGACACACATAAATCTCACTATGAAGGGTAGCAGAATAGACATCACAGAGGGATGGGTGAGGGGGTCTGTATTGGGGGTGAGTGGGCATTGGAACATGGGGGATCAGGTAGGGGGAAGATGGAAGGAGAGAGTACTGGGAAAAACAACTGGAATCAGGGGCATCTCTGGGATGAGTTAGAAGCCTAGTCCAATGGAAACTCTCAGGAACCTATGAGGGTACCCCAGCTAAGACCCCTAGCAATGGGAGATATGGAGCCTGAACCAACCATCTTCTGTAACCAGGCAAGACTTCCAGTGGTGGGACTGAAACCTCAACCCAGCCACATAACCTTTGACCTACAATTGGTTCTACCTACAAGATGTGCTGGGGTAAAGGTGGTGCAGAAATTATGGGAGTGGCCAACCAATGACGTCGATTTTGCTTAGGGAGGAAATGCCTAAACCTACTAAACAAGTTTAACAGGGTAAGGAGAAACTTAGTGTTTCTCAACACACCTCTAGATTTTATTTGTGTCTTTGTGGAGCTGATTAAAAGTTAAACAAGCACAGAAGGAGACAGAGGGGACTCTGGAAAACATTTCCATTAAGCAGCTTGTCCAGTTAGAATCCCGGAAATGTGGGTTTTTGAGAAAAGTTAAGCCATAAGATAGACTCCTCAAGAGGTGGTCTACATAGAGAGCCGGAGGCTGTGTTAGAATCTTATGTCTGCCAGCATTTTGGCCATTTTAGCAAATGGAGCAAGAAGTAAACGTTATGATGACCTTACTGGTTCCATATACCCACCATTCAGTGTAACTCCATGAATTTTGGAAGAAGAAGCCTACATTGTTTGGGGGCAAGAGGAAGAAAGTTAGCCTGGAAGAGATTATACACCCACACACTAGATCATGTACACATACAAAAAAGAAAAAAAAAAAAGGAAGCAATACTTGTTATCTCAGAATAACTTATAGGTAAACTATAAAAGTTTAAAGTCATCCATTAACTCTACCCAGAGACAACAATTTAACATTTGGTGATATTTCCAAAACAAAAACAGAACTAAGGAATGCAGGGCAAAGGTGGGAGCACCACTACACCTTTTCAGAGTTGGTGACAGATAGGCTGTGATGGTCGTGATCTAGTATGCAGACATGAGTGATTAGCAAAAGGCAGCAAAGCTCATGAGTCTAAGGACACAAGAGTGGCCCCAGGTTTCTGCATGCTTCACTGCAGGACTCATGTTTAAACTGGAGGACAAGCAGGACTAGATGATACCATGAAGGGAGGCTCACAAGCTCTCTACTGCTACTGCTAAAGGTAAGGGTGCCTTTTAAATAACATCTGTCTTTGTGGGGGGGTAGGGATGGCAGGCAGCTCACTCATCTTAAGAGCTGTGGTGGAAGGTGCATTCCAATCTCAGAAAGACAAAGTCCATATTTTCTCTCATATGTGGAACCTAGATTTAAAATTTTGTATTTGTATATATGTGTACTGATGGGTTATGGAACTAGATAGGGGGTCACGAGAAGAGGAAATGGTCAGGGAGGGTGAGTAAATGAGTGTAATGGAACACGTGTGACATGAAGGCAGGAAAGGGAGTTTGGGGAGAAAGAAAGCTGGCAGGAGGCATGGCGGAGAAGGCATTGAGGGAGGGGAAGAGTTAAAACAAAGCATGTTTTATTTAACCACCAGGACAGTCTCAGGGTTTCTTCACCTTGGATTTGCTATTGGGAAGTTACTCAGCAATAAGTCAGTTCTTGATTCAAATTCCTCACAATTCACTTGGCAGCAACCCCAAGTTATGAAACTACTGGACAGAGAGGATCAACATCTTTAGAGCTATCAATAAATACTGCTAAACTTCTGGTCAGAAAGACTAAACTTATCCCTCCATAGTCAGGCTTAGGAGTAGCCCTTCAATGAATCCTTATATTTCATGAATGCACTAATATCAACTACGTTTGTCCTTTACACTTGCTAGTATATGGTTTTCCTCGGGAGAGAGGACATACAGAGTATATTTAAATATTTATATATCTCTACCATTTTATCAGTCTAGTTTCTTTCTTCACTTACACATAGAAGAGGACCTTTGCACAGAGAGCATTTCTTATAGGGAATGAGTCGAAGCTAAAGTAACACTATTTTATAGAAGATGACCATTTAGGTGTTCTGTGCAGTGAGGCTGGGTGCCACACTGCAGCAATCCAAAGGCATCTTTCCCACCATCATTGTCTTGCTTATATCTTTAAATTTTGTACTAAGGACAAAGATGGAATGTACCCAGTATGTAGCTGTTCTTTTGGCCTGGTTTTCTTCTGCCCCCTGGTGGGCTCTGCATGAAGTGTAACTCTATAAACTAAGAACTAGATGGTGTTTGTGTCTGCGTGGAGAGGAGACTTTGAAAGCCTGCAGCTGCTCTAGTCCATCAGCATACCCTGTCATAAGCTCCTCCTCATCAAACTACACTTGTTTCAGCTGTTCTCTGGTCTGTGCCTCCCTGATTTGAAAACAGTCATTTCTTTTGCATCACCCGGGAAAATACCATGCTCCTCCAGTGGCTGTATAGTCCTCTTAAATACGTCACACTTCATTTGCTTAAAATTTACTTTGTGTGTAGTATGAAGTAATATTAAACTCCTCATTCAAATGGTTAGAGACACTACTATATTCAAAACTGCCATACAATTATTTCACTACTTTAATTTTCTAAATGCATATCATTGTAATTATAACTTCTAATATGCCTTATTAAATAGTGCATATTATTCCTCATTATTAGTTTTTAATTAGTTCATTTACTCTGAAGTTATTAGCTATTTTCAACGTCTTATTTATCCAGGTTAATTTAGACAAGACTGTGCTTCTGAATCTCAAAACAATGGTAGTCAAGTAAAGTGCCCAGCAGGCAGCGGGACAGGAAGCTGGGTTCATTCACGACTAATCTGAAGTTGCCTATTCTAAAATTCCATGTTTTAAAATACCTGTATTTCTGGATATGGTGGTGCACACCTTGAATCCCAGCACTCAGGAGGAAGAAGCAGGCTGATCTCTGGTCTAGAGAGTTCCAGGTCAGCCAGGGCTACACAGAGAAACCCTGTCTCAAACACGAGTGCGTGCACGCATGCACACACACACACACACACACACACACACACACACACACACACACACACACATACACACACACACACACACACACACACACACACACACACATCCACACACACACAGACACACAGAGAGGGGCTGGAGAGATGGCTCAGCAGTTAAGAGTACTGGCTGGCTGCTCTTCCAGAGATCCTGAGTTCAGTTCCCAGCAACTACATGGCAACTTATGACTGCCTTTTCCAGGGAATCCAATATCCTTTCACAGACATATATGCAGGCAAAATTTCAATGCACATGAAATACAAACAAACAAAAATCACCTATATCAACACCTAAAATCTTTTTCATGCAAGATACCCAACTTAAACACACAAATAGAAAACTTACAGTACCTTTATATGCTTTACTCCACAGCTGACCATTCTGTTTGGCTGATATGGATCCCAGGAAATATCAAAAATCTGTCAAGAAATTAAATGCTCTTCAGAGATCAGTGCAATCACAAAGACTGTAATCTGCTGCTCATCTGGGCTGTGCAGATGAAAGTGGAGGCCCTAGCTCTGAGAAGCAGGGCTGGTGCTCCATCCCCTCATGGGTACTTACCTCCAGCCCAAGTAGACAAGTTATTAACCTTAGTCACTGAGTGCAACATTAGATTTTTTCCATTTGTGGAAAATAACTTTTGACAGGGCATTTTTTAAGATAAAATATTCTGGAATTCTTCATAATACTGACAAAAATCTTGGGTGATAGCTTTTCAATAAAAACTAGAAGAATCATAAAGCAGTACATTTTACTTCATGAAGTGTTTCATGGCTAGCTATAATCCAATAAGGGCGGCTGCCGAGTTATAACAGAAGGTGAGAAAGAAGTCATTTTCCTGGTGGCACTAGCTTATCCCAGTCCTTGAAACCATTCAGTGTACTCACAAGGACTCTTATATTTTCAATTCTCAAAAAAAACTAAAAATATACCAGCTAGCACCATTTTCCATTTTCTATGAAGAACTTTGAGACAGTTTGCATGGAGTTCTATTTCCATTTAGAAGACAGAAAATACCCACCCTCTGCCAACCTTAAAGGCTACTCACTACCTATTATGAGTGTTGAAAATAGGCACATGCAAGGCCCGTACAAGGTATGGGCATAGAATTTAAAAAGATTGCAGGATGCTCTGATGCAGGTGGCCTATGGGTCGCATTCTGTAAAGTGCTGATAGAAAGGAACAGGAAGCAAGTGCACTGTATTAAATTCCCAAATAATTAATAAAAACATTATGTTGGGGAGGGAAGATATCACTCACATAAAGCAATAGAATAAACATACACACAAGGAAAAGTGAAAGAAAGAAGGGAGGGGAGGGAGGGAAGGAAGGAAGGAAGGAAGGAAGGAAGGAAGGAAGGAAGGAAGGAAGGAAGGAAGGAAGAGCCAAAAGCTTGACCAGAGCACAGGCCGTCAGCTCCCTATCATTCAGGAGGAAGACAACACAGACTCCAGAGAGAGGTCTGAAGGGAAAGGATTCGATCTGTTATGTCCATTTAAGCATCTGAATTCAGTCGGGTTTCAGTATCTTTAGCCTTTATCTCATCTTCTCTAAAACTGGCAACACAGGCTTAGTTTCGTTATGAAGTCAATTAAAATAATGTGGATAAAATAATTTTGAAGATTATAAAGTATAGTAAACACATGTTAATAAGCCAATAAAATAATCTCTTGATGTTAACCAAAAGCAACCAATTATTCCTGCTGGTACCAAGGCATCAGTAATGAAGAATAAAACTATGTAATACAGATTAAGGGGTCTGGGTGAACAGTATATTCTGTCAGAACATTCTAGATCCATATTGAAATTGAGTCCTAAGAATTAGGATATGTTTTTGAAGATTGTCTTTTTTCATCTCCAGCTCCCTACAGAAATATCATGTTGGAGTCATGAGAGACAGTCATCCCCAAGGCCTGGCCCCTGCCATACACAAAGACTTATCTCCCTGCCCAGTGATACACAGAACTCCAGGCTTCTGGTCTGAGTTCTCTATAGTTGTAAGGTGGTCATCAGTCTCATTATAGGGGAAGGGCATTTAAGGTATCATCACCACTATTGCTTAGATTCTTAGTTGGGGACCACCTTGCAGATCTCTGGACATTTCCCTAGTGCCAGATTTCTCTTTAAACCTATAATGGCTCCCTCTATTATTACATCTCTTGTTTTGCTCTCCTCTGTTCTTCCCCTGACTCCATCTTCCTGCTCTCTCATGTCCTCCTTTCCCCTCCTCTTCTCCCCTTCTCTTTCTCCTAACTTCCTCTCACCTCCCCACCTGCTCCCAATTTGCTCAGGAGATCTTGTCCCTGTCCCTTTCTCCAGGGGACCATGTGTGTCTCTCTTAGGGTCCTCCTTGTTTCCTAGCTTCTCTGGTGGTGTGAATTTCAGGCTGCTACTTCTTTGCTCTATGTCTAAAATCTATGTATGAGTGAGTACATACCATTTTTGTCTTTTTGTGATTGGGTTACCTCACTCAGCATGGTTTCTTCTAGTTCTATTCATTTGCCTGCGAATTTCAAGATTTCATTTTTTTTTTTTTCTTTTTTTTTTCAGCTGAGTAGTACTCCATTGTGTAAATGTACCACATTTTCTCCATCCATTCTTCAGTTGAGGGACATCTAGGTTGCTTCCAGGTTCTGACTATTACAAATAGTACTGCTATGAACATAGTTGAACATGTGTCCTTATTGTCTGAGTGTGCATTCTTTGGGTATATGCCCAAGAGAAGGATTGCTGGATCTTGAGGTAGACTGATTCCCATTTTCCTGAGAAACCACAATACTGATTTCCAAAGTGCTTGTACAAGTTTGCACTCCCACAAGCAATTGAGGAGTGTTCCTCTTTCTCCACATCCTCTCCAGCATAGATTGTCATTGGTGTTATTGATTTTAGCCATTCTGACAGGAGTAAGATGGTATCTCTGAGTGGTTTTGAGTTGCATTTCTCTGATGGCTAAGTAAGGATGTTGAGCACCTTCTCAAGTGTCTTTCAGCCATTTTGTATTCCTCTGTTGAGAATTCTCTAGTTCTGCACTCCATCTTTAATTGCATTGTTTGGTGTTTTGGTGGCTAGCTTCTTCAGTTCATTGTATATTTTGGTGATCAGCCCTCTGTCAGATGTGGGGTTGGTGAATATCTTTTCCCATTCTTTGGGCTGGCGTTTTTTGTCTTGCTGACTGTGTCCTTTGCTTTACAGAAGCTTCTCAGTTTCAGGAGGTCCCATTTATTAATTGTCGATCTCAATGTTTGAGCTACTGGTGTTATGTTCAGAAAGTGGTCTCCTGTACCAATTTGTTCAATTCTCTTCTCAGAGGTTCAGTGTGGCTGAATTTATGTTGAAGTTTTTGATCCATTTGGACTTAAGTTTAGTGCATGGTGATAGATATGGATCTATCTGCATTCTTCTACATGTCCCAATCCAGTTATGCCAGCACCATTTGTTGAAGATGCTTTCTTTTTTCCATTGTATAAATTTAGCTTCTTTGTCAAAAATCAGGTGTTCATAGGTGTGTGGGTTAATATCAGGGTTTTCAATTCGATTCCATTGGTCAACCTGTCTATTTTTGTGCAATAGCAAGCTGTTTTCAGGACTATGGCTCTATAATAGAGTTTGAAGTCAGGGATGGTGGTGCCTCCGGAAGTTTCTCTATTGTACAGGGTTGTTTTGGCGATCCTGGGTTTTTTGTTTTTCCATATGAAGTTGAGTACTGTTCTTTCAAGGTCTGTGAAGAATTGTGTTGGGATTTTGATGGGAATTGCATTGAATCTGTAGATTGCTTTTGGCAAGATTGCCATTTTTACTCTGTTGATTCTGCCTATCCCAGAGCATGAGAGCCATTTCCATTTTCTGGTATATTCTTTAATTTCTTTCTTTAATAACTCAAAGTTCTTACTATACAGGTCTTTCACTTTTTTGGTTAGTGTTACCCCAAGATATTTTATTTTGTTAGTTGCTATTGTAAAGGGTGATGTTTCTCTGATTTCTTTCTCAGCACATTTATCTTCTGTATATAGTAGGGCTATTGATTTTTTTTTTAGTTAATCTTGTGTTTAATTGAGCAGAAAAAAATTTTGCAAAGTGGGAAGCAGTCAGAAGCAGCAATTCTCTACTGCTTGTACAGGCAGGAACTAAAGTCCAAACTCAGTGCTAGTGCTTGGTGTGTGCCTTCTGTAGGTTTGGGTCTCTGCCTGTGATTGGCTATTGGTTACAAAAGTATGCTCTAAATTTAAGCTTTTGGTTTGTTTACCTTCCAAAGTACAATTACTTCTATATTCAGGGACTCAGGGTCTATAGTCTATATTCAGGAACTGAAGGCAGACTTAGGCAAATTTATTTTAATAGGAATTCCACAACCTCACAAAATACTTTACACAGAAGCCAGGGTAGTGTTATTTCTAACTAGATACCACCCATGAAGAATATTTTCAACTTTAATCTTCTATTTTCCCCCAAGGTAACAAGTCAACAAGCCTGACATACAACATATTAACTTAGGTTAGACCAGAAACAGAAATAATTACAGAATATCTTGGATGAAATACTGCCCTTTCAACAGAACCAAATGTGGCATCACAATTTCGTCTCAGGTTCACATCACTGGGAACTCATGTACCAATCTAACTCACCCTGCTTTCCAGGATACAGGTGATGGGACTACAGCATGAGAAATAGATAGCAACCTAGAACTTGTAACCTAAGCATTGCACTAAGTATAATTACAGCTTGGGCACAGAGTGCCCTCCAAAGGCTCACATGTTGAGGCACCTGACCCCCATCAGGTACCACTACTGAAAGATAGCTGGCTCACAGGTGCTAACCTCATCTACTGATGATGTCACTGGAGCAGAGTTCACCAGGGGATAGAGCCTGGTTGGAGGAAGTGGGCCAGTGTGGGGAGGGTGCCTTTGAAGAGCATGTGTCTTCTAGTCTTTTTGTCCTGTCTGTTGCTATGAGATAAGAAGCTTTTCTCTGTCAAGCCCTTCTGTCAAAAATGTGCTGCCTCATGACAGCCCCCGAAGGCTGCAGCTGAGCAAGGCGGTACTGACATCACTGAGAGTATGAGGCAAAATAATTCCTTCCCTTTGATTTTCTTAGGTAGTTTGTCTCAACAACAGAAAAACTGACTGACGCAAGTAGTATGCCTACTTAATCCCTTATCTTGCTACCTACTATTTCTGATCACACTAAATTCAGTATGAAGACAATCAGAGTAGCATTAAGGAATCCCAAATAAAATACAAACTCTTATAATAATATTTTTGTGAACATTTTCTAACAACCATTTCCATGAGTCAATGGATATATCTAAACAGAATTTCAAATTCTTTTCTATTTTGAGTTTATAAGAAGCCAAATTCCAGCACTGAAAATCTGCTTTGCTTGTGAAAAGCAATAACAACCATTAGCCACTAATCATAAGTAGATCATGTTTGTATGTTGAACATGTAGGAGAAAAAAATCTATATATGGCAGATTTACTTTTAAAGACATAAAATGACAATTATTTCACAGTTCTGAAATTTGCATTGTTTAATACCACCAAGGTCTTACCCGGTCAGAGTGGCCGGTAGCTGAGGCCAGAAGTTTTCCCTTTCTCCAGTCCCAAATGCAGACTGTGTTTTTGGCATCCAATCCCACAGAGGCTAAACGCTTAAGAAAAAAAGAAAGAATAATTTAATGCCTGAAAAAAAAACGTGAAAATGCCCTACTATTAATACCTACTTTCAACAAATAGTTACTGATTATCTATGAGGAACTACACATTGAACCAAAACTCACGCTAATCCCAAACTAAAGGTATCACTATCGATGGCTTCCAATAGATTACATAGACATTTCACCCCTACAAGATTACACCCGTTTGTTCATTTCACCACAGCATCCTAATGTGCAGTGTGTGAAGTTGCTGACAAGTCTGTTGAAGTCTTAAGAACACAGCTTGAAGGCAGGGATTAATAATCATGAACAATTTTACTGTAAAAGATTGGAATGATGACTCACACCTGTAATCTCTGCTCCAGTGAGGCAGGAGATATATTAATTCCACCACCAGCCTGGGATACTTAGTGAGTTGCAGGCCAGGATAGACTACAATGTGAAATCTTGTCTTAAAAAAAATTGACACAGGATCTCACTGTAGCTCAGGCTGACTCAGAACTCACTCTACAGACCAGGCTGGCTTCAGATGCATGGTGATCCTCCTGCCTTAGCCTTGTGAATGCTGAGATTACAGACATTCCTAAATTTTTTTTTTTTTTTACTGTCAGATTTAGGGAGCTATGAATTACACAGTCTAAGTAGCTATATCACACTCTACAATTTGTAGAGTCTGACAAAGACACTGTGTTAGTTTCAATGTAATTGCCCCTATAAGCTTATAGGGAGTGGCACTATTAGGAGGGTGGCCTTGTTGAAGTAGCGATGACCTTGTTGGAGCAAGTGTGTCACTATGGGAGTAGACTTCGAGGTCTTCTACACTCAAGCTATGCCTAGTTCAGTTCACTTCCTGTTGCCTGTGGAAAAAGATGTAGAACTCTCAGCTACCTCTCCAGCACCATGTCTTCTTGCACATGGCCATGTCCTGCCATGATGATAATGGACTAAACCTCTGAACTGTAAGCCACCACCACAATTAAATGTTTTTCTTTATAGGAGTTGCCATGGTAATAGTGTACCTTCACAGCAACAGAAACCCTAACTAAGACACACAGAAAAAAAAATCAAATAAATGAGCCTGATTTTGTTCTTAATTTTTATAATTGTACTAACATTTAAAGTGACTAAAGAGATACAATCTTAACAAAAGGAGTATGCTATATGCTACTGCACTCCTCTAAATCCTTTGAGTTCAAATCAGTTTCTTGTCCTCAAAGTCAACTTTTAATTATGAGCCAAATTAAAACTATTATATATAGCTATTTATAACACCAAAACCAGGGGTTCCTGCAGGATACCTCTTAGGAGACAGAATCGTATGTTACAGGCTTATTTGTTTTCTAATTAGCCGGATAGAAGACACTAGAAACTTAAAATAATTTTTATTAGTCTTTGAGAATTTTGTACATGTATTTTGATTATATCCACTTTTCCCTTCTCCATCCTCCCAAATCTGTGTCCTTTGAATTTTTCCACCAATCAAGATTAATCTGTGCTGCCTCAGAGTCTTGGAGGTGTGGTTATCTGCCAGAGTGTGCTTGACTTACCAGGGGCTACACTCTCAAAATGGATTCTTTTTCCCAGTAGCTAACAACCTCCAGCCACGTAGAAAGGGGTAGAATTTCATGCTCCATTCCCCTCTCCACATTAGGGTTTTTGCCTGGCTTAGGCTGGCACATGTCTTGTATATGCTGGCATAACTGCTGTGAGCTCGTATGTGTAGCTGTCCTGCGGTGTCCGGAGGATACAATTCCCCTGTAGCCTTCCACAGTGTCTGACTCTTGCGATCTTTCTGTCCCCCTTCCACAATGATGCTTAAGCCTGGGCTGTATTTAATATGTTCCATTTAGGGATGAGCAGGTTAGAGATGTATTAATGTGTGGGTATGATAATAAAATACCTTGGAAAAATTAATTAGCCTTCATAAATCTTAGTTTTCTCATTTGTGAAGTTAGTACAAAACTACTTTTTACTTTGTCAAACTTTATGAATTAAGTGAAGTAACAAATCGAATGATTTTGAATATGGCAATATGGAAGTATATGGGCTCACACATTCAGAGTACCCATGTTACTTGTCTTGTTGTTGTGATGCGATACCTGATTAAAGCAACTTCAGGAAGAGAGGGTTTGCTTGGGCTCACAGTTGCTGGGGACACAGCTCATCATGGCTGGGGAGGAAGAAGCAGGACAGGTGGCAGAGGGTCACAGTGCATCCAAAGTCAGGATGGTGCAGGATGTTTCTGCTGAACATCCATCAGCAGAAAGCATGGATGTTCGATCATAGCTCTCTCTCCTTTCTATTCAGACCACGGCACCGGCCCATGGGATGGTGCCACCCTGCAGTTAAGGAGAGCTAACCTGATCTAGTCTCTCCAAGGCACACCCAGAGGCCCATCTCCCAGCTGATTCACGCAAACAAACCATTTTTAAGTCATCATCACCTTCTCCCCACAGGCTAGTGGCTTTCTACACAAAACATATTCAATTTAACATCAAAAGTACCCACCAGTCTTTTACAGTCCCAACACTTTTAAAAGGTATAAAGGCCAAGTTTCCCAGAGAGTGGAGTAATCTTTTAACAGGGAACCCTTGCACATTTTTTTTTCTTGCATACTTCTCACATCCAAAGGGAAGGAACAAAGCACAGCAAGGAAAGACTGAAATAAAGAAAACTAAAACCCAGCAGGGAAAAGACCATATTCAGAACCTCCACGTCTGACATCAGGGGGTTGTGTTGGGATTATTCTAAAAGGCCTGGGTGTCTCTACTCTCCAGCTTTGTGACCTGAAGCACACAAATTTGCCCTTTTGGGCTGGCTCTATTCTGTGCTTAAAGTTGTCTTCAATAGGTGTCCCAAAGTTGTGACTTCTTCAATATCCTGGGATATCCATGGTAACTGATGCCTCCACTTTATACAGTAGGCCTTTTCAGGACCTTCTTGCAGGAATGCATGACATAATCCTGAACTCAATGTTTCTCTTGAGGAAGACTTCATGACTGGCTGAAACTTACATTTTTCATGCTTGATAAAACAATGCCACACACAGGACATGGCTAAATCCTGTGCTGACTTGAGAGGGGTCCTGGCTTTGTTGGACCACAGTTACAGCAGTCTCTGTATTCTGACTTTGGAAAAACACTTGCCTAGGCATTTTCTTTCAAGGAACAGGAAACCCCTTCAGATGCCTTCAAGGTGAAGGCTCTACTGTTTCAAATGAATTTGCTTTTTCACAGTTGGAGTCTTCAATGGGTGGAGCCTTGTCCACAGATAGGGGCACATTCTCATTGTGCCCGTGCAGAGCAGGGGTCCTTGCTAACAGTTTCAGACTCTTTCTCAGCACACATCTTGGCAGCAGCTTTAAATTTGATTAAGGTCTTTTTCTCATCAAACTTCACATTTTTTATTCTTTCTATTCATTTGTTCCTCTTTTTTACTGAACCAGATAAAGGTAGTGAGCAATAATCATACCACAGCTTAGATGCAATCCTGCCTTGGAATCAGCTCCATCAGAGCAGTTGCTCATTACCCCAACATTCAGTTTCACTCAAGGTCAGGACACAGGTAGGTGCAGCTAGATTCACTGTTAGAGTGTCATACAAATAGTCCAGTTCCCAATAGAATGTTTCCCCTTTCTTCCTTCCTTCCTTCCTTCCTTCCTTCCTTCCTTCCTCTTTCTTTCTTTCTTTCTTTCTTTCTTTCTTTCTTTCTTTCTTTCTTTCTTTCTTTCTTTCTTCCTTCCCTCCCTCCCTCCCTCCTTTCTTGCTTCCTTCCTTTCTTTTTTTGTTTTGTTTTTCAAAGCATGGTTTCTCTGTGTAGCTTTAGAGCCTATCCTGGCACTGGCTCTGGAGACCAGGCTGGCCTCAAACTCACAGAGATCCACCTGCCTCTGCCTCCCAAGTGCTGGGATTAAAGGCGTGCACCATCAATGCCTGGCTCCCAATAGAATTTTTGTTCCTGGCCAGGTGGTGGTGCACGTCTTTAATTCCAGCAATCAGGAGGCAGAGGCAGGCGGATCTCTGAGTTTAAGGCCAGGCTGGTCTACAAAGCAAGTTCCAGGGCAGCCAGAGTCACACAGAGAAACCCTGTCTTGAAAAACCTAAAACAAAACAAAAACAAAAAAGAACTCTTGCTCCTGTCTGAAGCCATGTGAGCCAAAGCTCCACTGTCCATGCTTCTTTTAGCAGTTTTGTATCCCAAGCACAAACCATAAGGGTACACTAAGCTCTGCTTACAATACTCAGTGGTTTTTCCAGTACCAAGTTCCAAACTCTTCTATATTCCTTCCACAAACTAGTTCCAAAGACCTCCAAACCACTTGGTCAGGGCCATCACAGCAATCGCCTGACTTCTCAGCACTGGTTTTCAGTCTTAGTTGCTTGTCTCTTTGTCTTGACAAAGCACTTGACAAAGGCAACTTAGAGAAGGAAGCATCTGTCCTTTGGCAGGGAAGGATTCATCTCACCTTCTTCTTTCTTGTTCAGTCCAGGACTCCAGTCTATGGAATGGTGCCACCCATCGGTAAGGTAGGTCTTCCCATTCCAGTTAACCGGATCAACATAATCCCTCACAGGCATGCCCCAAGACTTGTCTCCTGGCTTCTTTTAGATCCTGCCAAGATGGCAATACTAACCACTTTAGACAGCATGTGCCTGCCTAAGTATGTACTCATATGGTGTGTATGGAAGAACAGAGAGCCTCATATGGCTAAATGTACATGTGTTGTTATAACAGGGTTTCTTCAGGTGTCTTTACTAAAGATGTTTCCATAGGAATATTCTATATAAAAGAATGGTTGGAGGTTTTAGAATCTTCCTTACTAAAGATCTTTGCCATAATTTTCATTGAGAGTTGTAGCAACAGAAATTATAAGACAGGGCTAGAGAGATGGTTAAAAGCACTAGCTACTCTGCCAGACAATCCAGGTTCAATTCCCAGCTGCTCACAACTGTCAGTAACTCCAGTTCCAGGGGAGCCAACATCCTCACACAGACACATATGCAGGCAAAATACCAATGTGCATAAAATAAAAATGAGTTAATTTTAAAAAATTATAAAACATAATTTGAGAAATTAAAAAACCATTTTATCAATATAAGAAAATTAGAATGGGTAAATTTTATTCAGTTTATTTTTTAATGGAAAATTAGTTAACAAACACTAGCAGTGAAACTCGTTTTTCCTGAGTTTAAAAAAAGCCAAAAGAAGTCTATTTTCTTCATTTACAGTAACATGCCCACAGCTACCTAAAAAGAATTTCTATTGCCTTTGTCAATTATAGGTAATGAGGAATTTGTCATTTTCTTATTATTATTGGATTTCAGTGAACTCTGCCCAGAGAATTCATCAGACATGAAGGAAAAAGCATCAGCAAGCTATGAAACCCATTAGGGCAGATAGGTTACTTTTCTCAATTGACCGTTAAAAAACACACAGTCCATCCAGCCCCCACCTGTCAAAACAGAACCTCAAGAAAAATAGCCAGGACTCCAAAAGGAAATGGATGAATAAAATGAAAAAAGGGTAAGTAAAATGGGTAAGGAACTCACAGTTAAAGCTGGGTTTCTCTATTGCATAGCATTTTTGTGGTGATTTGGTGTAGATATTTGCTTAGATATAGAAAAAACGAGAGAATATCCATATGAGAGTACACATCAGCCTACATCTATGTTTATACAGCCATATGCATTCTAACCCCTTTATTTAGTCATTCATATCAATTTTAGTTCTAGGAAGAAAAATGACTAATGACCAATGCTCTCATAACAGTGGAAGATACCACAACATTAATTACTATAAAATGATTCAAAGCAGTTCGACTCATCTTCTCTTAGTTTGGTTGAATGTCTATGAGTGATTTCACTGGTTTTCCTATGACATTAACTTACAAAATTAACACTGAAATCAGCCAAACACTTATTGAACAAATTAATGGATATACAAAGAGATGGCAGAAGGGACACCTTGTAGAGACATGGTGAAGGCTGGAGAGAAAAGCTGCAACTTTAGCAAAAAGTGAATGCAGCTGGAGCCCTGAACAAGCCATATGTACTTCCAGTCACTTTTTAAAGCTATAGTAATCTTTTTCTGTCATGTGTTGGTGCATGTTCAAGGAAGGAGAGCTAACTTGTGGGTACTGGCTTCATACCCTTATGATGTCTCTCTATAAGGAGGCAAACAAGCAGTGAACTTCAGGTGAGGTGCAGAGCATGACACAGGGCATTTCAAAGGCACAGTATCAGGTAGACAAATTATGCCACCCTGTCTATCCTGACTACATGGGCGGGGGTGGGGGGTGGGGTGGATAGAAGACTTTGTTAACGGAAAATGCCCACCTACAATGTTTGGACTTTCAATGCTACTTTAAACTTCAGCTGCTGAAATGAATTACTAAGAAACTGTAAAGATGAAGTTGGAGAGATATCTCGGTAGCTCAGGGTACTTATTGCTCTTGCAGAGAATCTAGGTTTGTTTTCCAGCACCCATGTCATGTAATGGTTCACAACTATCTGTAACTCTAGTTCCAGGGGATCTGATGCTCTCTTCTGAATCTCAGACATGAATGTGATATACAAACACACATGCAGACAAAACAGCAATATACATTCAATAAACATGAATTATGAATATATTAGTTAAGACAATGTTTAAATTATATTACACATGGTTATGACTTGGAATTTAAAGGGATGTGCCTGTAAATGGAGGAGGGGTGGGACTGGTGTTGGTGTTATTATAAAGAAAAGAAGCAACACACAGGAATTGGTGACTGCTTGAATTAGAAGGGAGCTGGGGGGGGGAAGAAGGATGAATAAGAAGTGATGTCAAGATAGAATCAAAAAGAATCTTTCAAAAGGATCATTAGGAGGTAAAGTGAAGACCTGAAAGCAAAAGGCACAGTATTTGTGTAAGGTTTGAGCTCTGTGCAAATGGCTTGGTGTAGTCCTTATCCCAAATAGGATGCTAATAATGGGACAAAATAGGGTTACTGAGCCCCAGTGGACCTAATCTTATGAGTTCCCTTACAGAGCCTTTTCACCAATAGTAGAGTGGGAATAGGAAAACAAAAACTGGAGCCTATTGAGAGGGTGTACCAATACCACTAGAAGGGGCCAAGCGGTGAGGAATCCTACGATGCTGCCAAGGGGAAACAGCAAAGGCTAGTAGCTATTTATATTATAATTTTAGGTAAATTTAAGGACTCATTAAAGAAAACATAAATGGAGAAAGGTACGCACCTGCCCATCCGAGTCGAAAGCCAGGCATGCAACTCCATGTGTATGGACATCTTTGAGAATAGACACAGTCTGGACACTATAGGAATCCCAGATGCATATATATGGCTCCTTCCCAACTTGGCCAGTTGCAATCAGAGTTTTATCTGGGTGTAAGGCAAGGCTGAAAAAGAAAAAGGCCTCTTTTCATATTTTTTAACTGAACAAAAGTTAATATATACTGATCATCCTTTACCCCAATTTGTTTCTTATTTTAAATCGTTAAACCAGATGATCTCAGAAGAAAGAGTCTGTCAGTTCCCAAAGGAAACAGTTGCCTGAATTATTATAAATTGAAATGCTCAGTTTTGGCAAAGAGTAGTAAAACTTGATGGGAATTTTATCTACTTCGTTACCCTGAAACTCAACATTATGGCCATAACTCTATAATAACACATTTTATATGGTCCTATCACTGGGTTAAGTAACATTTACTTACTGATTTTCAAAATATTATTAGGAATTCAACCTAGATTTTGACTTTAATTTAAAAATGTTGTTGCTAAGAGAAAGTTCACTTTTCCATTGATTAGCAGGTTTGCAGATGTACAAGACAGATCCCACCCTCGTTAGGATTCCAAAGCACAGAAAAGTCCCAAGGTCAATGCGGTCTATGCGTCTGTTGTCATAGAGTGTACATTTGAAGTGAAACCTATTTTCCATAAGGTGTGGTGACTCCAAGGGAACTGCGGATCATTAACCCTGTGACATGTAGAACACTTTTCCTCTGTAGATCTAGCAAAATAAGATTTCATCAAATACCAAGTTGCATTTCAAGGAATCTGCAACAGTCAAGAGAAGAAGCCAAAAGAGTCAAGATGGAAAAGTAACCATGTTCAACACAATGTGTAAAGATGTATACCTTCCCAAACATGTTCAACACAATGTGTAAAGATGTATACCTTCCCAAAGACAGGGGTTGGGAATCTAAAAAAATGACAAAACCAAAACATGGCACTTTGCCAATCTGGAAAAGTAGCTTGTTCAGCCAGCACTGGGTAGAGTCAGGCAGATCCCTGGGGACAAGATGGAGGAGGGCTTGAGGAAGACATTCTTCCACAGGTGCTCCCGCCAAGCCCTGAGGAGTGGAAACACACAGATTCTCACATACACAAAAGTAAAGCTGACTTAAAAGTGAGTTTGACATGTAGCAAGTACTTTCTTTAAAACATATCTTCAGGGGCTGCTAAGATGGCTCTGAGGGTAAAGGTGCGTGCCTCCAACACTGAAAACCTGCGTTCAATTTTAGAAGCCATCACACAGTGAAAGGAAATAAATGATTCCCACAGGGTCTCCTCTGACCTCCACACATGCATCATGGCATGTGTGTACCCACATATATACATTAACAAGTGAATGAATGAATGGATGAATGAATAATAAATATGGATATAAATATAAAATAATGCTATTTAAAAATATATATCCACAAGACTCTTTATAATGAGGCAATAAAAAGACAACTTATGTGAAAGGGAATCTCCTAATGTGAGTGTTCAGGCCTTGAAACCCTTCTAAGGTTGCAGAACACTTTAGCTTTCCAAGTTAGTTGAGAGATGATTTTGATCAGTATAAAGGGAACCTTCCAACGACAGTTTTGTTAGAATGAATCTGTATCTGATATTTAATAGTATGTACATATGTTCATTGGCTTTCTGTTACCACAGATAACTAAGATCATCAAATTATAAAAAGAAATGATGCACTTGGCCTCAGCTTTATTACTTATTGTTTTTGAGCAGTTGGCCTTGCATCATGGTGGAAGCAAAACAGCTCATGTTACAGCTGGGAAGAGGAAGTAAAGGAAGGAGTTAGGGTCACCTTAGTTCCATCAAGGCCTTTGCTCCAGTAGCCTCAAGACTTCCCTCCAGATTCCACTCCTTAAAAAGCTCCAGCACCACACAAATTGGAGAATAGGCCTTTACCTACAGACCGTTGGAGACACTGAAGACTGAAGCTGTAGTGATAGATACCCTAGAAAACTGCCAAAAGATTATGCAGTTTCATATTTGTTCCATAAATGAAGTGAATGGAAGCAGTCTGTGAAACTTCCACCTATGACTCAGTGATATATATATACACACATATATATGTATGTATGCACACACACATGGAGAGATATATAGATATATATCAAGTAATTCATTCACTGAAACTTTAGGGATTTGATATGTCCAGTACAGAGCAACAGACACATGAGAGAAAGGAAGAAAAAAAGAAAGAGAGAAAGAAAGGAGAAAGGGAGGGAGGGAGAAGGAGGAGGAGAAGATGACAGCTAAAAAAGTGTTGTGTTTCAAGGAGCCGCTAAAGAGGAGTGACAGCCAGTATACACAGTGACTACCTGACTTCATATAAGAGGTAAGGTGTAAATGGACTTTTGTTGTGAAAAGACAGTTTTCAAAGTCTGATTGACAGGACAGGAAATGATACAGGTCCAGAAGGCAGGGGCAGCTCAGAAAAGGTTGTGATGAGGCCAGGAAGTTCGGTTACAGCAGGACATAACATGAATGCTTTCACCGTGATGGAGCGCAAGTGGCAGCTGAGAAGTTTTTATGAAGAGAGAAATGTTTTAACTCTTCCTAGGTTTTAGTGGCAAACTTCCCAGGATAGCACCCTGGTGGAGACTGACCAGTTATGAAGAAACTAATTTGGCCAGATGGTTCATGACGAGGGTTTCTTCATGGTTCTCAACTGTTTCTTGGCTATCATCTAGCAGAGCAAACATTACAGAGTACTTGCTCAACAGGCTGATTGATGATGCCAACAATCCTGCTGCCACAATGTCTCTCCTCTCTCCCAGGGTCACCGTGTTCTACTTAGAGACTACAAAAGAGAGAGGAAGGGCATTCTTCTCCTGGATGTACAGAGACACCCCAAGAGACATGACTTACTTTCTGTGGCCATGGCCTCTTTTAAATGACAGAGATAGCTGCAGATACCTGGGATGGGGTAGGATCCTTGAGTTTCTCAGAGGGCTGGGTGAATGAGGAAGGTTGTTGGAAGAAAAGGATATGAACAAACCTTTAAAGAGGCTATTAGGGTTAGATGTGAATATTCCCATGTGTGTTGAATGGCTGGTTCCCAATACCGCAGGATCTTGGAAGGTGCGTTGTAAGACTTTGACTTAATGGGTGAAACCACTGATGAGTTCAGAGTTAGAGAGCACTATTGGGAAGTGGCTCCAGGAACCAGGGAGTGTGGGCAACTGGAGGAAGTAGATTACTGAGGCGTGTCTTCTCTCTGGCCTTTCCCTCTGTTCCTGGCCACCACAAAACGTACAGTTTTACTCCACAATACCCTTTTGTTCTAACAGCCTCCTTCACCATAAGCCCAGACTGATGGGACCTAATAAGCTTGGACTGAAATCTTTGAAACTGTAAGTCAAAATAAATCCTTCCCTTTTGTTTCTTCAGCTCATTTGTTTCAGTGACAAAATAAAATAGAGACTTTTTTGTAAGAATATCCATCTAAATTATTCAGTGTCACTACCAAACACCCCCCATTTGACTGTATTGTATCTTTACTCCAGGGTTCACTATCTTGGATGATTCTGTTATACCCACACATTTACTACATTGATTCAAAAGCTCTCATTGGAGTTACTTTTCTTATCAAAGCTCTTTTATGCTTTTCATGAAACTAACTTCGAAGCCCATGATAATCATTTCTTCAGTTTCCTTCTTTACCACTTGACTACAGCAACAAAGTTAGCTATTTCTTCTTTTCTAAGCTCTGGTCTCTGGCCTCCTTCACCAGCTTGCATGCGACATGCTCCTCTTAGACTTAGAATGGGGGCTGGGTCTGTACCTCAATGGTAGAGTGATTGCCTAGCATGCACAAGTCCCAGGGTTCAATCCCCAGCACTAAAAACGAACAAAGAAACAAACAGAAGAGAGAGAAGATGCATCTCCATGGTAGAGCACTTGCCTAACATGCTATGAGATCCTAGATCCAATCCCTCAGTACCAAAAAGAAAAGTAGGGGCAACCTACATTTACTCCATTATTTGGTACTTCCTCACTGGCCCCAAAGCTTTACTTCTCTTACCTGAGTAACAAATTGACAACATCCATGTATCCCCTAGGGAATGGGCAAGTTGCATTTACATTTATCTCAAATTTGTCAATATTCATTCAATAATACTTGGAAATCTCCATAAGGTTAACAAACCCTCATGACTGGTTTGCCAAGGACATCACCTGCTACAGCAGTGTGCTGCTTAGGTTTAAGCTTACACAGGTGTCTAGTCCCCCTTTCCTCACACCTCTGCATTTATGAATTCAAGAACTCCAAGAAGTATCATTTCCAAGGACTGTGGGAAACCCAGACCCAATGAGTACATCTACGACACAACTCTTGCACCTAAGGCTCAGAGAACATCTCAGGAGAGGGGGCAGAAAGGTTGTAAGAACCAGAGGACCGGGAAGTCTGCTCTGAGACTGTGTGTGTCTCCTAGAAACGGCTGCTGAAACAAGACGTGAACAGTAGCAATATCAGCAGATATACTAAGGCAGAAGGGGGAATGGGGTCCAACCCCTTAACAAAGAACAGCAGGTAACTAATGACTGCTGAGGGAGGATCAGCTTTCTCAAGTATGAGCTCACTAATTGCTTATCCAACACAAAAAGTCAACCATAAAACCATACACATAAATTACAAAAATGCGTTCAGCAGGTTATATTTATATGTATTTGTGTGTGTGTGTGTGTGTGTGTGTGTGTGTGTGTGTATAAAACAATAATAAAATTTAAAAAGTCCACAAATTAAGAGGAATTTGGATGCAGAACGTGAGAGGGACTGGCTGGAGGGAGAGGAAATAGGAGGGATTAGATGTAGGAAAGGAAACAGGGAAAGTGATGTAATACAATTTAATTAAAATATTATTTAAAAATATACTATAGAACTATATTTTAAAATAAACAATAAACATAGTTTTAAAGCCATTATCAACAGGATCTTCCTTCCGAATCCCAAAGTATCTTGATGTCAGTCCAGAAGCAATTTGAACAATGGGTGTTTATTTCTGAGTGGATTTTCTCATATAAAATCAAGCCTCGCCCTTTAAACATCATCATGGCTCTTTGTTTCTTCTATAGTACACTCCATGCCTTAGCAGCCACCCCA